GAGAGAGAGAGAGGAGCTAGAGCATGTTAACTAAGAGGGTATATTAGCTCGAATTGTGTTTAATCCCATATTATAATTTCTATTATTATTACAAAACACTTTTGCAAAACATGCTTCTTATCTTAGCTAAAACAACGACATCAATAGTTGCTTTAGGTCTGAATTAAACTACATTTTAAACTCTTACACATATAGAGATGCAAAATGATATGCTCTTCCACACAAAAAAAAGTGCAACACTAAGAGAAATATTATAGGAGTTAAAATATATTGTTCCCAGAAAAGCAGCAAATGACATCAAATGAAACTTGAGGAATATTAGGTTCAGTTCCAAGTCAAAGCAATGAATTAGAGTAAGAAAATGATAATCATACTTTACAGTTCATTTATGACTTGTTGTATACTGAGTATACCTATATAGTGCTTTGCATCTTTCTTTGTCGACTGGTGAAGTTCATTTGCTCGTTCTCGAAGTTCATTGGAGCAGCGCCACATAGATAACTACAACATTTTAAAAAAAGGTTAGCAGCGTGGAAGGTAAAGCAAAACACTTCCTCAACTGAATGTTACACCAGCAGAGATAGGATAGGATGGTTTATACTTTGTAGTTTGTAGTACCTCAAACATCAAATCTTCTATCTGAGAATAGTACAAGCTTGCAGCTATCATTCTAGCCAACAAGCATACATCCCTTGTGACCTCTGGAGTAACTCTGGGATTTCCTGCATCATATACACAAACATATTATCACATAAATATTAATATATTCCCACACTAATGCTGTATTTTCCTAAAGAGTTCTTACTCTGTTGGAAATGATTATATAGTAGGCATAAGAAAACTATACACAGATATTCTATGCAAGAGAATAACAAATTTAAGCAGATATCTTCAGAACATATTATACCATCACGATCCCCGCCCATCCAGGAAGAAAACTGAATGAGAGGAGCATTATAAGGGACACGCTCATTTATTCCGATGTTCTTCAGAGCTGTATCAACACGACGCAAAAATTTTGGTACACCTTTCCAAATTGTTTCATGGAAGTAGCTCATTCCGGCACGCATCTCATCTTGTGGAGTGGGAGGTGTTCTTCGTATTTCATCAGTTCGAAATGCAGCTTGAATCTGCAAACAGACAAAAGGAAAGCTGTAGCAATAAGCATATCATGAGGCCTCAGCCTTTACTTTTTTCTGCTCTCATTAACAATATTGTGTTCCTTTCTTATCTTCTCAGACGCCTTTGGAGAAGCCCAGGAGGTAAGTTTCCACTTTCATGTTCCATCTAACTACATATACTTGCTATGAGATTAGAGAAAAAAACTCTTTAGTGGCCATTACCAGTCCTATACATTTATGGCTATAGCTTGACGGAACCAAATGAGAAGGTTCATTTGTCTTAAACAAGGTCATAAGCATCAATAGGAGATAACTCTGAAAGTGAGCATTTAAGAAAAATATTAGTCTTAAAGAGCTTAGTAGTATAGAAGAGTTAAGCTATAAATTGGTATAGTGCACTATTTAAAAGAAAAGATCTCCAATGGTCATTCCAAATATATTAAACCAATATCTTGAATAGCCATACTTAAAACTGATCTAACTAAAAGAAAGCAATCCATTCAAAATTTGTTTCTTAGCCTCAAGAAGATTCAATAAGATTCATACATTCATGCACAGCTTCATATATCTGACAACTAGAACATACGACAGACCTTATCTAGAAGCTGATGAGAGAGTTATAATACAACATGTTGTTGGCTTCACTTAGAAACAAAGCTAACCAGGCCATAGCTAATTAACAATTGGATTATGTACAAGTTCATTAAACATCAATATCACAAATTCATTGGACAACAATAAGATTTCGTTCCCTGGTACAATGGCAAGGTTACTCCTTTGTGACCTGGGAAACAAGGGTTCGAGTCACGGCAACAACCTCTTTAAATATTTAAATGTAAGGCTGCATACATTGGCCCTCCCCATACCCCGTATCGGCGGGAGCCTCGTGTACTGGGCACGCCCTTATCACTACATAACGAAGGAGTTATACAACCAAGTTACCTCTCTCTGAAGAGCTTCATCGAGCTCATGCTGATCATCAGGAGTTATATCCTTGGCTGTCAGTTGTGTCAAGCAATTCCTTATCCTGTATGTCAAATATTGTAAATAGAAAAAGTTACTAATATTTGCTGAACCACATAAGAGTACTTATGCCACCTTTAGTAAAAACTGAACTGGCTGATCACAAAACATGTGAATGAGTCTATGGTGATTGTCACAGAGGAGACAAACGCATACAAGAAATTTTCAAATATGAGTATGTCTGACAAGCACATTAGGAGCAAAATGTCTGATATTGTCATGAGAATGGATTTTCTAAAGAAAATTGTCTCAGGTATATCGCCAAGAGCTTTTAAAAAGACCTGCCATGTTTCTGAAGCAGTGATCTCCTGATTGATTGTGTTGGATGTGCAGTTAAAACCAGATCAACTGTCTGGTTCTTCAGAGCATCAAAGACCTCCACTGGTGATTTATGCAGTTGCTCGACAAGCCTTTTAAGAGTCTCTTCGATGTCGGATTCAGTGGTTGCATTACTTTCATCCACAAAATCTCCCTTTTTCAGCTTGTTCCTCCTGCGGTGGGCAATCTGAACCTCCTCAGCCAGATTGCCCAAGTTGAGCATGTGGGAGAAGGAACTGGCCACCAAGATAGAGTCCCCAGGGTCCAGACTCATCAGCACATGCCCCAGTTCATCCAGCTTACTCAGGTCACGTGTCCCTTCGTACTTAGCAGATATCTCATAGCACTCTTGAACCTACAGAGTAAATGCAAAATCTATATTGCAGATCGGAATAGCTAGAACACAAAACAGATAGGCATAAATGGATTCACCAAAGCTTCACAAAAATGAATTATGAGTACAATGGGAGATCTAAAAAATATCTGTATCATCTTTCTGAAGAACTAACAAAAACACACAATTCTTATGCATTGATCTACAAAGAGCAACCATTTAATTATAAATGTATATACTTTTTTTCCTTCTTTAGGGTTGCATCTCCGAACTAAAGAATCTCACACAACTCATAAAGAAAAGGGCTGCCGCAGATCGAAACTAACGCTTAAACAAATGGTAAGAATGCGTTTTACTTGACAATCTGAAGCATCGACGATTATAAAAAAAAGATCGAAAGCCTCCACGGCAGATCAAGATAACACCTCGAAACAAGATTCGACCTTTCCGATGAATAACAACTCAAAACAGTTGTACAGGAAATTGACAAGAATTTGGGTACCGTGTCCCTCAGATCTTCGCCGTGCAAGCTCTGGAGGATGTCGAGGAAGCGATCCACGAGAAGCGCATCGTACTCCACCAACTTATCATCCTCGGAGACCTTCCCCGGCGCCAGAAGCCTCAGCTGCGCGTCGATGGACGCATGCCTCTCCATCGAATAACGCGACATCTATCCCAGACCTCACACCTAATCCTTCGCTCCCACAGCCCTCCCGATATACCTACAAACGTTATTGAAAGAAACAAAGATCGAATGGCACGAGAAGCTCGCCTGTGGTGGGGCAAATGGCGGAAAACAGGAGCAAATTCGCTCCGCACGTCCTTCGATGCCCACCACCGGATCCGAAGAGAACAAAGACTTGATCTTTATGTGGTTTTCTGCTGCTTCAACTCTTGTAGGTCATCAAAGATGGAAAGAGAGAATGAGCGAGAACAACGATCGGCTTTGGTTCACTGAATGGCCGGCGTCGTCGTATGTAAAGGTGTGCGATTTGACTACCTTTTATGCTGGCCATATTCGAACTCGGAATCTTCGTAGCCGTCAAGCTTTCGTTTAGATCCAGTCAGAATATCCAGTGACCGACCCAAAAGCTGTTGAGCGCCCGCTACAACCTAAACTGCCATTATTAATAATAATAATAATAATAATAATAATAATTATTATTATTATTATTATTATTATTATTATTATTATTATTATTATTATATATATATATATATATATATATATATATATATATATATATATATATATATATATATATAT